GGGGGTGGTGGGGGTGGTGGGTTGGGCGCGGCTAGGCTTGCGGGTGGGGGCGGTGGTGTGACGCGGAAGAGGGGGAAGTGCGGCGAGTAGGTGAGCGCGGAGTGAGGGCCGAGGCGGGTGGCGGGCGGTTGAGAGTCTCGGGGAGATCTGCGGCGCGGGGGCGCGTGGGGGATGCGCGTGTACACGCGTCGCAGGGCGATTGGCGGGGCGGGCGGCGGGCCGTTTCGGAGATGCGAGCGAAATATCCACACGCGGTACACGTGCGTTAGATCGCGGCGCCCGATTAGATCGCGGCCCCGATTAGATCAGCGTCTCACGACGCGCTGGAATGCGCCTCCCACGGCGCGCTGCCTGCCGTGCCGATTTATTCCACGCGTGTACACGTGTACTGGGCCTCGTTTACAGTGTTATTGTTAGCAGCACAGCACCCTTCCCATTGGTGTAACTTTGGGCACTTTGTACGCCAATTGCTCCCAAATAATAACAGTTTGGCTGTATGATCTTATGAAACTACCAATAAAAAGCTAAGCAAGAAGAACGGTCAGTAAATGGCTGAGAAACGTTTATATCAGTGAGTAACTTCCGAAAGGGGAGCTCAAACCGCCCCGGGCTAATTTTGGGCACCTGAGATTTGCAACCGGAAAGCTTGTGCGTATGCCGCAGTTGCACGTCTTTGAGAATTGTCCGAGCGGTTGGTTGCCCGCGGGCATGTCGGCTCGTGCCACAGTGCTTTTCAGAGACTCGGGAGAGCTGTGTGGCAATCTACGGCGCGGACTTCACCAGAGAGAAGGCGTTTGAAGCTTCCTCGGTGATACAAGCGGAGGCTACATTCGCCAGGGCAATACCTGCACGCATCTGCTGCTTACGGAGTGCCTTCGCGCGCTTCTCCTCCTTTCGCAGCTGCGTTGTCCTTGCGACATCTCGGCGCCTCTGCAGAGCGGCATCTTTGCGTTGATCTTTCGCTGCGGCCTCGGCGATCTTGGCCGCCTCAGCTTCCTTGCGCCGATTGAGTAGATCAGCTGTTGTGAGCCAGTCGCCGGGCGCCGCACTGTCAAATGAAGGCCTCTTGTGACTATTGTCAGCTCTCGGAATAGGTTTCGGAGCGGAGATACGGTTCATGAGGATATTGTTCATAGTAGTGGTATTTTCCAGCATGTTTTGAAAGCGCTGAATCTTCACAGCGCTGAAAATATCCTTATCCATAATTTCTGCAATCATCAACTCGGTCTCAGAATCAGGTTGACGCTGCGGTACATCACTTGCGAGAACAACGCCGCTCGAAGGACCTTCATCGCCTGAAGATCCAGCACCGCTCGAAAGACTGGCAGCCCCAGAGGCGAGGAGCAGCTGCTGTACTGATGTCCTGAACCGATCAGCGAAGTGGCGTTGAGACGGGAACAGGCCGTACGTGAGAAAAGATGAGCGCACATCCGACTCCGTAATCGCTTGATGTGCGAACACAGCACACGCCAAGCTGAAATTGACAGACTGCGCGTCTATGAGACAAACCTCTGCGAACTTGTCTCGGATGATCCTCAAAGATCTTTTGAACCTCTTTTTCACCATCTGATCAAACGGTTGGAGGAAATGCGATGTATTGGTTGGAGACTGGACGACCTCGCATCGGAATTTTTCACACTGCTCCATGTTGATACGTGAACTTCCCTTCAAGTGGTCGCGCATTAAGTCAGTAACATCTAAGCTCATCGCGCAGTACTGATGTTGGTCAACAATTGTCTAAGTGATTTAAGGTACGTAGCGAGAGATGTAATGATATCTGGTGATTACTCCTGCCTCTTGATTTTAATTCTCTATTCATGTTTTGTACTACAGTACTGGGATAACATGTCTAATGTGGATGTGTAGGTCCTTACTTCGTTGTGGTTGAACTGATACAGTAGTATATATACTTTGTTTGTGCGCACATGGAAGTAAATGGGCTCACCCAACGATCCCACTTTTCAGCACTCCAGCCACTTGTATCCGTTCCGAAAGCTGTGGCCGTCAAGCGTGAGTAGATAAGTGTCAGTAACACCAGCGAAATGGCGCACGAAGTTGTCCAGATGCTTGATGAAGGCTGGAATAATAGCCTTTTCCATCGAGCCGTTCTCGGTGATCTTGATAGGGACGTCTTCCGACATCCATCCAGGTTTCGTAAAACTGTGGCAGTCCGAATCGGCTTCGAGAAATACCTGATCCAGAGGATCCAGCCACTTTTGCATAATCTTTTTCCCAGAACTTATGAAGAAAAGAGATGCCACGAGGCCGTCGGCTGAAACCCCGATGACAGCGGTAAAGTGCTGTCCACCGCCGTTCAGCGTGGAGGCGACTGTGGTATAACTACCTTCGTCCCAACCACTCGGAAACAAGGGGGTAAGAGGTAAGGGAGCGCGCGACGCTGGGTTACCCACGAGCGAACGCAAACCGTACAGATGGACTCGAAAAGAGGGGCTCACGTGGCCGGTGACGCGCAGCCGGTCGGTGGTGTGATAACCGGACGGCCGGTCATGGGTTAGAAGCCTGGAACTAAAAAGAAAACCGGAACGAGATAAAGACTAGCCGTAAAGGGAAGGGAGGCGAGTCTGCCTCCTCTTTACTGGGACGGGCAGGTGTGCCCGGTCTTAACCCCTAAGTGGGACGCCCGGACACCTGTCCCGCTAACGTAGCTGCCACTTACTGTGTACCAGATACTGTACACAATTACTACTACTTACTAGTTAGCCACCGTACGGATTATACACGTGTGCCCGTGGCCGCGATCCCGGCCGACAGTTGTACCACGTGTTACCCGTGGCCACTCCCGCTGCTACCGGCTGTCCCACGACGGTTGTACCACGTCTGACCCGTGGCCACGCCCGCTGCTACCGGCTGCTACCGGCTGTCCCACGTCGGACCCTTGGGGCACTACTGTACACGGCGGCGGGCGCGTGTACGCCCGCTCGCTACAGTAGCACTCGTCGTCCCGCGCAGTTACCATCTCCCCGGGGTGGTCCTGGTACGGAATTGTACTACAGCGACAAACCCCCCGTGGTGCGTTTTCGAGGGACCAAAGACCTTAATGCGCTCTCCAAAACTGACTATGAGAAACGTCTCATCAGTGTTGCAGATGCGCCGTCTGTCTTCGAAGATACATGATGTTTGCGCTCGACGATCTTGTAGTGCAGTGCACCTCCACACCGCCAACGAGGGCGTAAATCTCGCTGTAGAAAGCGCTACGCAAGGCACAGTCACCACCAGGGTGTTCGAGTCCCTCTGTCCGGGTAGCTCAGGGGAGTCGACGCGGTACCGCCGGTACATCGCGGTGTGCGCGGAGGGGGGCACTCCAACGGGAGTGCGCTAGAAGGAGTAAACAACAAGAAAAAGAAAGAAGAACGAAGAAGAAAGATATCGTAGAAATGTAGAAAATAGGGGGAAAAGTAAAGGGAAAACAAGAAAAAGGATGACAACGAAGGGTGCAGGTACCAGACTTAGCCAACTTGATAGAAACCGTAACGGATCCTACCAGAGATGGGGTCCGGCCACCTGATGCCTCTTTATTTTATCGCCCTCCGGCACCCGACCTATATAGGCCAAGCGCCGTCGTCGTCGTCGGGTATTAAATGCGTAATTAATAATTAATAATTACCATTACAATTGCCACTTGGCAAAAGACGCTAATTAGTGTAGAAACTTGTGCACACCACGTGTATATACATGTGTACACGTAGAGTTCACGTATTAAACACGTGTGGTAGCATCCAAGGCGTTCGCGAACGTTTTGGATACTGTCTCTTACAGTACACGTGTAAACTTACGTGTAGGCACGCACTCCAGCGCCCCGGTGCAAATCCAAGAAATTGTTGGAAACAAAATTACGGCGTTGCACCACACACAGTACACGTGTGACACACGTGGCAAAGGCGGGGAGCGCGGCCCCGCGACGGCGGTGAGCAGGCGTACAGCACGCAGGGTCACTGCACTAAAGCTCTCAAGAACGGAGAAGAAAGGCTCGACGTGATTGAAGCGCTCTCCCTTCAACTTTACTGCTTCTTTATTCTCTGAGTTCCTGAA